TTTTTTTCTTTTTATTATAGCTACCATTTAAGTAGACAGTAAAATAGATGAAATGATCAGTATAAATATTAAACGGTCAATAGTAAAATGGTCAGTGTATTAAATATAAGCAACAGTAAAAAAAATAAGCTTTACTAGTAGAAAATAAATTTAACTAAATCACAGAACTAAAGGATAAATAAGAAGAAATTTAACAAATAATTGAAAAAAAAAGAAAATGAAAATCGAATTATTGTATTAGTAAAGCTAATTTAATCTGTGCTGCTACTAGTAGTTTACAATATTCCAAACGAATAGTCATACTCACAACGTGTTTGCATATATAATTCTTAAAAAAAAAAGCTAGACAGTTGCATTTCGATGTTTTTCAGTGTAAATCATTCTCAATTTTCATAGATTAAATGTAAAAATAATTTTTTAAATTGATTAAACATTATCGATTTTTTTTGTTGTGCTTATTTAAATCATTTTGTGTAATTGATTGTAAATCACGAGCTAGTATATAATATTTTTTCAATAAATTTTGTTGATTTAGTCTATTGATGTAATAAAATCCATTATTTTGAAGATATTGTTAGTTCTATAGCAAATATTCTTGCATTAAATAAGAATGAATCTCTTTCGATCAACCAATTATTAATGATATTTGAAGAAATTATTAAAACTTTTGATAAAACATTGCATTCTCGAAATGATTCATCATCTTTGATTGCTTTATTGGTTGCCTCATTTGATTTGAACCATCCATCATCGAATGCGTTTTGTTTGTAATTCAACATTTTGATTCCCTCTTTCAGGTTTCTTTTATTTTCATCTACTTCATGATCTTCTTCCATCACCTCTTCATCTGATATATTGTTTTTCATATTGAGAAATTTGTATTACTTCCATAGTTACAAATATCTCAAATTTTGTAAACACGAAATATCTTATTTTTATTTTAGAATAACTAGATATTTAAACATGAGATTAGATAAAGACAATGACCAGGGAAGAAGTCAAGAAGCTTCTTTTCCTTTATTTTAGATAATGAACAATAAGAAGAATTAAAATAGTCATTCTTCTTATTCACAGAGTATATGTAGATTAAAAACAGTAGATGAAAACAACAAGAACATATCGAAAACAGCTGAAGAGAAAGGAAAAGAAGAATATAAGGGATACACTCTATAAACCATTTCAATTTTTATATGGACACTGATATTTTAATATAATCGACTGTTAATAAATTATATTTATTGATTTTGGAATTTATGTACAAATCTAATTAATTAATAACTGACCGTTTAAGTAATTTACTGATCAAGCATTAAAATGACTAATTTTATAATTATTTCATTTACTGACAATTTCATTTATTTTACTGACCATAAATCATACTCTTATTCATTATTATTATTTGTAAAGGTTCATGATGCCGTTAGAATAATTAGTACATTTACAGATACAGCACCAATCGGAATTTTTCGATTGGATGTATCAACAGTATATAGTGAAAAAGAACATGCATTTGAACGAAAATGGGCTCAATTGGTTAATCCGGAAAATATTGGATCATCTTGTGGTCATTTACTTCTTTCAATATCTGTTACACAACGTGGTGTTCCAACGAAAGTAAATAAATTTTTATTTGATCATATATTTTCATTTGTTTATTTGTTTATTTTATTCTTATTAAAGAATTTTGTCAGTGAAGGAGTACATGACGAAGATGAATTTAAACCTTCGTAAATATCAAAGATTCTGTCGGATTAGGTGACCTATGCAGAATTGTGAAGCCAAATATATCATGTTGTAAAGCAAGTCAAGGTACGTCGAATGGTATATAGTTAACCTTATTTTAATAAGATTTTGAAAAAATTAGAATCAATTTACTGATAGACAACTATGTATTCAAAGATTGATCAATTACTGATCATTGTAATCCTTGATATCAGTCTCCGATCATTTTATAATTAATAGGTAAAAATGCAACTGTTCAATGATTCGTCACCATTTTTTCACAAATAGTGAGTCTCCATGTCTCCGATAATGTCGACTATAAAAGATGTGACCATTCTCAGAAATTGCCCGCAATGTAGTAGTACAAAACGCATCATGTCGAAATTCTCTAAGATGAGTGCATGATGTCCAAAATAGACTTGCATTGA